GAGTAATAAATGCTGAGTACATGTTAAAGTACTTATTGTAATGACTAATTTTCTACTTATAGGTAATCCTTTCAGTCTTGTTGCCTACTAGTCATGACTTAGTAAAAATATCACCGTTTTCTAACGTTGGAACTAATAATGGGCAATATAATCAAAATAATAGTTTTGTTAGTGATTTGGTTAGAATTGTTACCGACAATTCGAATTCGTTCGATGGAGTAAGTTCAACAATTCTTATAATTTACATTATTTAACGACGGTTACCTTAATTACTTTTTAATTATAGATTGATATTGATTATCCTAATAAGCTTCCATGCTATCCAGCGCAAGGAACGCAAGGACAGCAACAGCAAGGACAGAGTTTCAATACTAATAATTTAAATCCTGTTTTCATATCTTTTATAGCTGATTTATCAAAACAATTAAAACAATCTAATACCAGTAAGATTTTAACGGTCACAGCAGGCCAATATCCTATATATGGTCTTAACTCCAGCAATTCTGGTATTATTAATTTTGTAAATATTCAGGTAGAATTTAACTTTATTTCTTAATAAATGCTGTTATAAATCCTTATTGTCCTAAATGTAAAAGACACTTCATTTCCCAATGTCTGTTTATCTACATGCATATGACTGATTAAATGTAACAAGATAACTCAGTCATACATAATAGCTTGAATACATAATATTGTTTATTAACCTAAGTTTATTTATTTTTCTTATAAAATTTTAGGCATTTTATCTTAATATAGACAGTAATCTTGCAAGTGCTGGGATAAACGATATTCAGAACATTTTTAATGCTTGGAATAGTTATGTCAGTAAATCAAAACTCGTTTTGGGAATCGACTTTGGTGGTATTGTTGAAGTTGTTACTTCAAGTAACATTACATTGGACTCCAATAATCAAAACCTTACGGTTGTAAATGATATAAGTACTCAAAGCTCATTTGGTGATGAAAAAATCCAAGATTTATGCGGAATTTCAGCATATGCATCATGGTCGTGGAAAAATTTGAGTATTAATTTATTACCACCTTGTTATACAAGTATCAATAAAAATTCACAATGGAATTATGGCTTTGATAATAAATCCCAACAGCCATATCTTTACCAACAACAACAGAACTCCCCTACACAATACTATTATGTTTCTTATGAAAATCGTCAATCACTAAAATCCAAACTTGATTACGTGCAGCAAGTTAATGCACAAGGAATTGCAATTTTCGATATAACTAAAGATACGGTCGATGCAACATTAATGAACTTCATATTAGGAGTTTTTAACCCCCCTCAGACACCAGCTCCAAATATGCCTATACCTACATCACAACCATCTCAGTCCAATATAGGTGCAATAGTGGGTGGTATAATAAGCTCATTTGTTTTTGTTAGCATGCTAATGGCCACTGGCTTTATATTATATCGAAGAAAACACAGTGCAGATCTACACATAGACACAAACAATCAGGCGTGCTCTGATACAAATAATCATGTTTACTCTGATATAAATCGTCAGGTTCATTCAGATGCTTATAATCAGATTTACTCAGATACAAATCATAAGGCTTCCCAATAGACACTGATTAATCACATCACAATTTTTATTTAGAAAACTGTCTAATAAAATTTTACTTAAAATTTTGCTACGAACATATATTGCACTAACTTTAATAAATTTTGGCAATTCAATATGAGGTGTCGGTCAGCATACTTATTAGACAAATAAATTGGCACTCATAAAAAAAATCAATTTTAATTATTTGGAGTTTGAGCAGAAATCCATAATAAACTTGAAAATAATCTTATGCTCAAGGTTAACCAATCCTTGACTATATTCTTTATGTCAAAAAATTAACTATAATTATTATAAATAATATACTGTATGATTGGTTAAAATCTGAACTTGTGCTTACGCCATAACACAAGGAAAATTATAGATAAAGTTCATTATAAGTGTTTTTGTCGTGCTTGAAGTTAGCACCAGCTCGAAGCTTTAACTTCAAGCCGTCCTAATTTCAGAAGTTAGTGCAATTTCAGACCATATGGGCGAAAATTTTGATGGGAAATTTGTGATTATTTGAATTAAGTGACATAGTAATAAAATAATATTTATGATTGGCTAAAACCGCTAAAAAACGGTTTGAGAAACAACCATTTACCAACAAGATTTTTTAAAATTCAGAGCAAACATAATTACAATTGAATATCATAATTACAATTGAATATCATAAATCCACCTTTGAATGACAAGATACTAATAAAATTTAATGTCTTTTATATAGATTATTCACAATATGTAAATAGATTTGAGAAACATATCAATTAGTACTAAATAAATTTAAAAAACATATTGACTAGGGCTCTGCAAATGCCCATGCCGGGCAAATTGGCACTATGTCAGGCACTAGTGCCTCATGCCATGCCCATACCTATAGGCTCAAAAGTGTCAGGAATTATTATAGGCATGGGCACAAA